TTCTATATATCAGTATATACTTCAGCTTGTGGAAAAGCTACTTTTGAAGAACTTTGATTTTTCTGTATATTTTACAAAATTATTTTGGCAACCACAGCTTCCAAAATTATTTTGTAAAAACTGCAGAATTTTTTACAGTGTGTTTTTTTATTTAACATGACTCTAACAAAGGGTAGAAAATATTTAACATGAAGCAGGGCAGTAACCACTATAGACATTGAGGGGGACAAGACAAGACCTGCCAATAATTAGAAATGGCCAACTGACATCCCTAATATTTGAAATTCTTGCACTGATCTGCTGCACTTCATTATGCAGCGCTCTGCTGTAATTAGAAAGACAAAAAAGATTTAAAAGTTACATTTTTAGGCGGGTCTGCCTCAGCAGTCTAACAGCGCTTGTCAAAGTCAAAATGACTGAGATGGCTAATTAAATTAAAGGCGGGGTTTACCGTTCAGAAGCAGAGCGCGAGTTCCAGCGTGTAGCATCAGTTTTAACATTAACATTTAACATTTAATATTTAATGTTTAACAACTGTTTTACAATAGAAATGTTAAATGACCAACAGTAATATCCAGCGATGCAAACTACTCTACTTTTTTCTCAAACTTCACCGTTTTGAAGTGAATATGGTATCATTTACGTGATTCATGTAATTCCTAACTGAATGTGATGAGGCAAGAAACATTTTGCATTTTCAACATATTAGGCATACAAATAAGCGTGAATGTGTGCATTATTTTGTGTTTGAGTGAGTGCAAATATTATTTGCAAATAGTTCAAAATGATTACTTTTTAGTTCGTCTAAGGCCCCGTCCACACGTTTAGCTGTATACGCATAAATTTTGTATCGTATAGGCGTTTCGTCCACACGGTTCCGGCGTTTTGGGAGAGTGAAAGCGATATTTTTTTAAACCGGGTCCCAGAGTGGATAAATCTGAAAACGCCGCCCTTGCATTTTCGTGTGGACAGCGAATCCGTATATTTTCTGAAACGATGTAGTGCAAATGAAGCAAACCATCAACTATTGGTGCCAAGGCACTGTCAATAGATCTTTAGGGCTTTATAAATGCCTAAGCACAGTGAAGTCTATTATAAAGAAGTAGAAGGTATTTGGTACAACACAGACCCTCCCTGGATCAGGACGTCGCTCCAAACTCGATGAAAGAGCCGGAGGAAACTGGTCAGAGAGGTGAGGCCTACAGCAACTCTGAAGCAGCTCCAGGAGTTTATGACAAAGAGTGGTCATTGTGTGCATGTGACAACAATATCACAAATTCTCCACAAATGTGGCTTGTTTGGGACAGTTGCAAAAAAAAAGCCACTTCTTAAGAAAGGCCACATGCAGTCACGACTGAGCTGTGCCAAAACGCACCTTGAAGATTCTGAGGCTGATGATACACGGGGCAACTTTTTGAGCAATGTTGCCGTCAATGGGCAACCAGGTGAGACGCAGGGCACATGACCGATCTAAAGTATCCCGATAGAAATTTGTTACCCATTCTCAATGCCCAAGCAACATTGTTAAAAAAAAAAACTTGCCCAGCAAAATTGCTCAAAGTTGCCCCACGTATCATCAGCCTCATGGAAAAAGGTGTTATGGTCAGATGAGACCAAAATGGAATTATTTGGCCTCAACACCAAACGATATGTCTAGCCGAAATCCATCAGCTAATGGTTTTACAGAAAGCATCAGTCTTACTGTGTGAATTCATTAGAAGAACTGCTGTTGAAATGGCCCTTGAGTATTTATTCCATTTAAATGCATCAGGAGACTCTTTTGTTTGACATTTCTGTTGGAGATGCTTCTTAAAGATGATAAAATCCTATTAGCATGCAAACTACTTTCTCAAAACAGTCTACGTAAAATGAACAGCAGTCTACTGATGAAGGGAACAAACACAATAATATGCACATGCATTAGCTGGAGGTAAATGACTTATTATTTCTATCTACATTACTGGCATCCACATAATGAACATGAACTAACATGATGGTCTCTTTCTGCTGAAGTTAATGCAGACATGGAGCGGAAAGAGCAGAAATACCGCTGGGACTGCTCATATTTGAGCTGCAGTCAATCTAAGATGACGTTTCATTTTGTACAGCTGTGCTCCTCACCTACAGATGCCGGTGTACTGTAGTCATGGAAACACGGCCATGGTTTTATTGTGCCGTTCAGAAAACACAAATATTGGCCACATTAAATAAATGTGATCCGTGTCTATTTTTTCACTTGTCAAAACAGCCACAAGAGGTCTATTGGACAGATTAAACCTGTTTGAAATAATGTTATTTTTTGTGAACTGGTGTACCCAAGTGCTCAGCTGAACACACTGAAACAACGTAAGTACTATGGAGGCTGGAGAAAGCATACAGTTATGGTTCTGCAGACTAATTAGCAAGAGGCTTTTTTTTATAACATTTGTTGTTGTTGGTCATTGTTTGTCTGAAAGTTAATACTGTGTAATTTTATTTAGAGATTGTACAGCACATTGGTCAACGTTACGTTGTTTTAATTGTGCTTTATAAATAAACAAACAGAAACAGAAAAACAGAATACAGTAATAAGGTAAAAAGCATAATTCAAAGCATGACGTACAACCACTGTAACATATGGCCTTGAATGATGTATTGCTTTTATAAAACAGCACCAAAATAAAACTGATAAAAGACATCAATTTATTATTATTATTATTATTATTATTATTAAATATTCTGGAATATTAACAACAACAATATTATTAATAATGATAGTTTAAAAAAATAGCTAGGTGTTGATAGACAGTAAGGCATCACATCCAATAAAAAGTTTGATTTATTATCAATAATAATAATAATACATAATTGTTTTGTTGTCATTAGAAATATATAATATTGCACAATTACTATTATTATTATTATTATTATTACCGTATTGGCCCGAATATAAGACGACCCTGATTATAAGACGACCCCCCTTTTTCCAGATGTACCTTTTGGAAAAAGGCTTTTTAAAAACCAAATCTTGTTTTTTCTCAGTAAAACACATTTTGTCTTCAATTATTTTCATATTGCATATTTTTCCTTTTTTTTAATTTTTAATTTTTGTTTTGAAAGTATGATAAAAACTGGTAAAATGTACCAACAAATCACATTTAAAAAATATACACTTTTTGATATACCATAAAAATACAAGAAAAAAACATTGTCTTATATTCGGGTCAATACGGTAATACCTATAATTTCTTTTGTTATATAATTTATCCAATAAATAGTTATATTTATTATTATTATTATTATTATTGCTAATAATAAATGTAACTTTATTGGTCATGGTGTCTTGTCTTATTAAACAACAAAATACTGCAGAATCTTAAATATTATGTCATAACTTTCTTGTACTTTTTTAATCCTAAAACTTTAGTCTTTTTCCAGTTTTAAATTAGATTTTGTGTCACAGATGTTCAGTGTGAAGACTCTAGTTCCTCTGCCTGGTTCATTCATTCATTAGACTGTTTACGGCTGCCAAGACATGCAGCAACTTGGCATATTAATATATAATTCAGCTGATGTGTGGTCATGGTCTACGTTTACAATGGCTTTGAGCTGGTCTAATCAAAATTTAGAGTTGGAACTGTTGTGTTTATAATAAGCTTGTGCTTCATATGCTTCAGACCAGAAATGTTAAGATTCTTTCTTACATATTTACATACTAAAAATAAAGTATGGACAAACATCAAACATCAAATAATGGTATGTTCCACAGGACAAAAACATAAAATCACTCTGATAAATTCTGATAATTTATCACACTGATAAAACAGTTAGTACAGTAATGAAGTTTCATGTTAAGGCAGTGGACTCATTTATCTTTAATGGAATTTAGCATAGACAGCCCATTCTTTTAATATCTCTCATGTTTTCCCACTGAACATCATCACTGAACAGATATTTTCTCAACTGGTTGGGGATGGCGAATGAATCATTCATGAGAAAAGTGCACATGCAATGGCAGAAGGTGAAAATGTAATTAAATACTAGAGCTGCCAAGATGAACTTCCCCTGAATAAAATAACACTCCTATAATAATATATTATATCCTAATATAAATTATTTGCCTCGAGGCTTCATTTAGTCAATTTACTGTAACTACACACGGAACACAGTGTTTCCCCACGGACCATTATTACTGACGTAAAACCCGATAAACGCTGGACCAGACCATAGACTGTATACATAAAAACAGGGACAAGACTGTAAAAAAAAAAAGCGCTGGACATATTTAAGACCGTAAATCAATATGGTGGCTAGTTATAATGTCCCTACGTTAGCTATGTTTTGTGAAAGACTAAACGCCATTGTGCATAAAAATACCACAGAAAGAAAGTTAGTCAATATCACACGAAGAGTGCCAGTTTTCACCTCTAAAATCAGCATGATTACAAATGTGATTTTATTCAACCGTTCAATAAACAAGAAGGTAATATTATGAGACTTACGTTATAGACACTATATTGCCTGTTTATTTTGCCGACAAAACAATTCCAAACACAGCCACAGCGCTGTTTTGCGTCTCTGTGCAACATGATGGCGTTTCGTTCACTTATATTAAATCTTCTGTTCAAAAATATGTAATTGGAGCTGTTAGAAGTTGTGTACATGATTCTTTTAATGCTGGGACTATTGATCTGTGGATAAATTTGCACGGCTGACTTCCATTAGTGCCACACTTATAAACATGATTGTGCTTGTTTTTGCAAAAATGAGTATTTCTCAACCCTGGGCCTCGACAAACTTCCAGATTTCCAATTTTTAAATTATTAAAAACTTTTGTTATTTTTAATTTTGAAAATTAATGAAACTTTAAATTTAAAGTTTAATTAAAAAAAATTATTGGAAGAGCCTTAAAATATTATCATCTCGGACAAAGGGGGACCTTGAAATCCAACAGGTTGAGAGTCACTGCTTTAAATAGATAAACTTAAGCTATAAGACTTTTATGACATGATGTGACTTACTGCAGGTGGCATCCGCCTCATCCGATCCGTCCGGACACTCGGGTTCTCCGTCACATCGCCAACGCCCAGGAACACACTGACCGTTCGCACACGCAAACTCTGAGGGAGCGCATGTGTTCTTCACTGGAGAAAGAAAAGAGAGTTAAAGGTTTGTGCACTCTCTAAGCAACAAGCATCCATACAGTGGGATGCAGAAGTCTGAGACCACATTGAAATGATCTGGTATTTAAAATCTAAAAATTAATAATAAAAAAATAATAATTCTATGATGTAAACTGAATAAGGAACATTTAAAGTCCCCATAAAATCAAAATGGAAGTTTTAATTTTTTTTGAATGAATATGTTAGACTAAAGGTTATCTATAAGCTAGTGTGCTCCAAAACAACGACAAAATTCGCATTCAGAAGATACAAGCATTCAAAACTTACAGTCTCTCACTTCCCCCCATATAGATCAACGATTTTGATGACATCACCCTGCACTTCAGCTTCTCATCAAACCCTGTTCAGCTTAACACAATTGTGACGTCATTGCAGATCGTTTAATTTATCCCCACCAAGTCCTGAAAAGTGAAGCCAAAACATTTCGATCGCCCCCTGGTGGCTGGACCCAGTATAAGTCATAAACCCCGCCCTCTCCATGCAATCTAATGGGACGTGAGACAAACTAAAGTATTAAATTAGGGGTCCGGCAAGATGGCGGACTGAGAAGTTACATTTGTTACGTGCTCTCACTCAGATCCCGAGTTTGTTCAGTTTGACAAATTTGTTCCACCCTCACCTGCTAATTTCGTAAGTTAAACATACCCTAAGTTGTTTGAGATCATGATCGATGTGGAGGAACACTGTTACGCAATGGACATAACCGTAGGTTCAAGCAAAAGGGAGCGAGGAACTGAGTCTGACCTACCCACACCGTGTAAACCCCAAAAAGGAAAAAAAAAATCCAAAAAAACGGCAGTGGATGAGGAAAATGAAGTGTCCAATTCGGCTATACTGGAAGCGATCAAAGCTCTTGGAAGCATGGATGCTCAGCATGAGGAAATAAGCATGCAAATGAAGCAACACAGTGTGATGATTGCTAGCGTTGAAATCCATCCAAATAAACGCACAGAAGTTAAGGGAATGCAAAGATAAGATCAAACTGATGGAAAAGCAAATTGAAACACTAACCGCAGTCAGTAATGATTTGAAAGTTTGTGTGTTGGAAGAGGAACGGTACAAAAGAAGGTGGTGTCTTCACATTAAAGGTCTGAAGGAGAACTCCAGTGAGCGTATAAGAGAGGATGTGATTCAACTTCTTGGCAAGATAATGCCTGAGTTTGCTGCTACCATGTCGGAGGCTGTGAATGTCGTGCATTGGGTGGGAAGGAAGAAGACCATCCGTCTCAGAGAGGTGATCATTCTCTTTGCTCGCAGATTGGTCCGCGATGAAATATGGAAAAGAACCAAGACGTCTTCGGTATGCAAGGAAGCTGGCATCCGCTTTGCTGAGGATTTGACGAAGGAAAATAAACTGTTAAGACGTGAGTTATGGCCAAGAATCGAAAAAGCCAGAAAAGGAGGCAAAGCAGCTGGCTTTAGAGGCCCATTTGGGTACATCGAGGGTAAATGTATTTCTTAATAGGGTATTGACTGCTTCTCTTTGATATGAGGTGAGGTGGACTGATAAGGAAATGGGACTTTGTTTTTTTATCTAACAAGCTTTACGTTGCGGTTTGGTTTGCAACAGACTACATTCTTATTTTTGTTCATTTCGATTTATAGTTCTATCTGTTCAGTCATTCATGTTCACGTTAAAATCTAACACCACGCATTCTTCCTTAAATTGTAGGGGTTTAAAGGACTTTTTTTTTATTTAGCAAAAGCCAAAATTCACAATGGTTTTTTTTTTTTACAAGAAACACATTCAGAGTCGGCAGATGCTGCCTCTTGGAAAAAAAAATGTGGAGGGATGGCATGTTATTCAGTCATGGGTCGAATCAGTCTATGGGTGTCGCTGTATGCATGAATAAATGCCCAGGTAAAATTATTACTCATAAGGCTAATGTGGATGGCCATTGGCTCGCAGTAGTCTTACACTTAGACAAAATATTTTTCATTTTCATTAATGTGTATATTGTCCGCCCCAGAACAAAGATCTTTTAGAGACAGAACAAATGTCATAAATGACCTCAAAGCTAGACATGCTACACAATATGCTTTAATTGGTGGTGATTATAACATGATTATATATGGGTAGACATCCTTCTAAATTTAGTATTTCTCATATGAACAATATTATTCAAGACTTCTGTTTATCAAATTCCTTAACTGAAATAAGGAGAAAATGTAACCCCACTGCCAGACACTTTTCATGGTTTGAACCAAATGCCACTTCAAAATCGAGAATGGATTATTGGCTTGGATCTGATATTCTTTCAAGTTATGCAACTAAATATTTCAGGTGCCCCCTTAACAGATTATTGTGTGATCAATTTCATTTTAGAACAAAACAAGAATCTTCTAAGGATATTGGAAATTTCATGCAGATTTACTAAATCATAATGACTATTGTACCTATATTTTAAAAAAAATTGCTGAATTTAAAGTAAAAAGAATGCAGAGTGGTATTAAATGGGAATACGTGTTGATTTGTTGGTTGTTGATTGGATGGAACCTTCAGATCTGAAGGTGGACTGTAAGAAAGGGTGGGTTTAAGCAGAATAAATGACTGGAGAAGTGCAACCTACTAACAAAAGAAAAGACTGTCATTTTACTGCAAGACCAGGCTGTGACATTTTAGACACAAATGTAAAAAAATTGCAAATATGCATGTATGAATTGTTCACAATAAGATAAATAACATGCATTTAGAAAACAGACAGGGTGAATTCTCATTTCATGCCGACTTTGCTTGTGTAATACTGCTGCATTCACTGATCTGAGCAGACGGAGCTGTATGCAACAGAGCATGGACAACAGTCTGGAGCTACAGATATTATATACAGAGGCTTGCTCTCCACCTGCCGAGTTCTCACAAACACTCACAGACCTTCAGTGGGCGGCAATCACAACATCCTAACACAACTCCACAAGACCTGTTGACAAACCTGAAGGATCTGCTGCGGCAATGCTGCATCATTTTCTTTCTCCACAGCTCTGTGAGGCCTCCTATTGTCCTTGGACTCTGGTAAAGGCAATGCGTGGTGTGGGCCAGTAACCAACCAACAGGGACGTGTCTAATCAAATGGAATGCACCCGCAGCCCTCCCCGAATCCTCAAGCTGTGTATCTGACTCATCTGAGAATGTGTTTCTAACAGGAACATTACATCAGAGACTCTCTCTTTCCCCTCACAACAGTAAACAC